TATCTGTAGATATTGGCACAGATCTTAGAAACCTTTGCTAATATTTATAATTCATTCTCTTTACTTAAGTTTAATCACTCCTCTTCCAACATCATATACTTATAGTGATTCTCAATGAAACTCACTATTCAGAATCACTGTAACAATATTATTGACAAAAATTTTCATAGATCTGTATAATTTATATTAAATATTTGCAATCTCTTTTTATTTTAAGTTTTAAACACTATTTTCAAGATCTAACTTACTTGTATAATCTTTGACAATATTAATAATTGCAACCAGTAGATAATTTTTGATAAATTCCTTCTTGATCAAGATTCAAACAACTTCTGAGCATTTTAATTAAACAAAAAAAGACTTGATTTGTCAAAGAAGTCTTTTATATATATATATTTTCTTTTTTAATAGATAAGTCTTTTTTTGTTCTCTTTTTACATGTATCATTATTAAAAAAAATTATACATGTATTACATACAACAATGCATGTTTCATGTGACATGTTTGATGAATGATGACATGCATGTGATCTAAATCACGTGAAAACTACAACGCTTTAGCCAACCCCCGAAATAATATCTAAATTGGCTTCAAGTAAAAATCGATCCACTGATGTGTGATACATATGAGGAAGTGATATCGATATACGCAGACAATTTTATAGGTTCGGGATTACCAGTAATTTTTGTTTCAAACACTAGCTCCGCTATTAATTCGATTAGTATAAAATGTAAAAGAACCAATGTGGACCTGTACATTAGTGCATCTAAAGTTAATTGGTATAATTGTACGAATTCGGCACGAATGTAATAAATATTGCGATCGCTAATAATTTATATATGAGATGTGAAGAACCAATGCTACGGATCGCTGACGTGTAGTTTTAAATCGTACGTTGTTTTACAATACGTATAAAACATGCGTGTCTCACTGGGTCTGGCCCTAAGATTCAAAGTAATCCACAGTGTAATCATTTACAACGCGAAAACGCACGTAATTCCAAATAACTTATGTTCTCGATCACTCCCGATTTTTTACTACTTGCCGTGTTGGTCCAAATGTTATTTCTCTATATTATAACCAGATACAATTCTGGAAACGCCGAAAAGCAATTCAACGCAAAAATGGCTTCAGCGTTAAAGAAGCAACAAAAAAGTATTGCCGATTTATCTGAAGTAGTAATGCGGGATCTGGTACATCCAAATCGTCTCAAAATTATATTGTTAGCATTTTCTAACTGTGGGAAGAAATTGATGGATTATTCAACGAGAAAAAACGTGTCGAAAAGCGGTCCATGGCAAGGCTGTATCCCAAGGTTGCTGAGGAAATAAGAGAACTTGTTATCGCACATAAGAGGGGGGTAGCAATCAGCGATGCCACCATTAGAGACTTAAATTATGGGTAGCAAAACAGAGGGGTGAAATAGATACAGAACCGGGGGAGGAAGATGAAGAGGAGAATAGTAATAGTGCTGGGCCTAGTAGAGATAGATGAAGACCCCAAAGAATAGGAACGCTCATTTATGGCTCTGGGTCCGAGCGATTTCTCCCATGCAAGGTTTTCACATTTATCTGTTTTATAATCAAAAAAATAAAAATCGCCGTCCAACTGCTTTGAGTATCGCAAATCATAAATGAAAAATCTATTCTAAGCACAAAGTATAACAACATCTAATCTTGAATCTTAACGATCAAAGGTTCTTTGCCCAAACATTCTATTTTGAAGGTGTTATAATTTTCGGAGCATGATACGTGTATAAAATCCTTCTGCAGTTTTCGAATCTTTTTTGATTCACTGCGAATATCAATAATAGCTATACTCTTTGCATATCTAACAATCTCTTC